ATATATATATATATAAAACGTATATAAATATATGTACAAAAATTGAATTTAATTGCCTTCAATTGCTGCCAGAGAAAATTGCTATGCTATTTATAACATCGTCATTGTTACAGCTACAGAAAAAAAGGAGAGATTTAATTTATTCTTTTATAAAGAATATAAAGTGAAGTTGTACAATATAATTATAAAATAATATTAACAATAATAATCATTAATAAAAATAGAGAGCAGAATGACTCTTATATTGTTTCGTCTCGTTTGAAACGGATAGATAGAATTTCCGGAATCATATTGACCTCGTTGTCTATTTTTCCATATATGCACCAGTCGTTGCTTGGACTAGTTTCGACGATTTTGGATGGTTCCATGGATTCGGATTGATTGTCGCAACCGTGCTGCGAATCACCGTGATCATTCTCGTCGATGGACCATTGAGACGCAATCTCCTTGAACGGCTGCAAGCAGCTTGCATTTTGTTGTATGTTCTCCAATTCCTCGTCGCAGAGACGCTCGACCTCCGACAACTTCTGCTTGTAGGCGTCAACAAGCGCGCGTTTGTATGAATTGTAACGTTGCTCAGCTTGCTCGAAGGAATGTTGGTCGTAATACTTGGCGAGATTTTTCTCGTACTCGAGTATCGTGAGTTCCCTGATACTCGGTTCTGACGTAAAGTCGATGTTACCTACAGATACATCGCATAAATATTATTATTAATTTTACGGGTGCATTAAAAGTATATATTAAATTTTAATACACTACTTGTTTGAATAGTATCAACTAAATATTTACCAAATATAAAGATATAAAATAGATATATTAATTCAAGTTAACTATCATTTCTTTTTGAACAAATATTTATTATAATAAGAGTCTAATATATTATAGAGTAAGTAAATGTTTAGTTGATAATTCAAATAAAAAATATTAAAATATTTATTAAAATTTAGTATTTCTTCTCAATATGAAGATTAAATCAAGTAGATAAGGAAATAAAAAAAAACAGATAGATTTAAAACTCTGTTCTCTATATCTTAGATTGTGACGTTAGCAGCGAAAAAATATACAATAAAAATTCTTGTAAAATATTTTAATATAGAAATATCCAAGATAATAATAGTAAATACATGGGAGCCTTAATAATATTAAAATAAATTCATTTCATCACTTTAAAAATTTATTTAAGAATCTAAAATTCTCAAAGATTCATTCATTTAAGAATGAATCACTTATAATTTTTCAAAATACATTTTTACTCTCTTAATTTACTCATTTAATAAAAATACTCGTTTTATAAGCAATGAATCAAAGTACAAATTATGATTGATAATTTAATTTACTTAAATCGCTTGAAAACGGCGATTCAATGGCATAAGCTGCGACTGCGGCCAGTGCGGCGGCAGTTGCCTCTTCAAACGCAAGAGCATTGCTTCTTTCGCGTAAAAATTGAAATTCTTCTTTTTCCTTTTTCCAAAGAGCCATCTCATTGGTCAGTTTTTGCCGAAGGCTCGTCATTTCCAACCAGAGCTTCTGAGCGCGTTCGTGAAGGAGTGATCTAAATGGAGTAATTTTCTTTCTGACAAATAATTTTATTTCAACTAAGAAAATGTTAAAAACATAAGGAAAAGAATCTCAGCATTTTTTATACTCTTGTTCGAGTATTTTTTATATAAATTGTATTTTTTGTTTAGTATTTAATAATACATACATTTAATAGTATTGTTAAATATAAAATTTTGTTGAAAAAAATTTAATTAATTTAAATTAAGGCTCCTAATCATTGTGAAGCTTCAGATTGATGACGTAAAATAAAAATATTTTTTTAATAAAATAATGTATATTTGCATTTGATATAATACACTTGTGAAATATATTAAAAATTCCTTTTACTTCGAAATAGAATAAAATAATATTCTCTACATCTCAATTCAACAGTTGTTAGCTTTGTTTGTAATCTTGTTAAACATAATTCAGTTTCAAATATATTTATTGATTATCAGAACACAAAAAAAATTTTTGGAATATTTTTAAATTTATTCTATCTCTGTCAATTGCAAATGTGTTCTTTATTAAAAAAAAACATTTTAATGTAATTTACAAACAAATGTTTATACTGCTCTATTACATCGCTAATTTTTGAGTCAAGAAAATGTCACAAACTAAGATGGCTGCAATGAGAATAGGAAGAAGTCTCAATATAATTCTTTATAAATTTAATTAATATATTTTTGTTAA